TGGGTGGTGTTGTTTTTGAGACAGGGTCTCACTATGTAGTTGAAACTGACCTGGAACTCACTATGTAGTCCAGGCTAGTCTCAAACTCACAGTGATCCTCCTGCCTCAGCCTCCTGAATGCTGGGATTTCAGGCATACGCCTGGCTGGGCTAGTTTTAATTGGCATAAAAATCACCGGTCTGCTTGCTGTTCCGTTTCTGCTTTCCTCAGTCCTTTCGTGCCTATAAAGCCAACCTCTTGTTCAGTTCACTGGGACAGAGCTGGACTATAAAAGAGAATAAATTGTTGTTTGGTTCTAGAATCGCAAATAAAAGCCAACTAATATCCTCAAATTTGTTGTAATTTTGTCACTCAAAAGGTGATTATTATACTTTACACTGTTACTGTTTTTTAAAAATTAATAAACCAGGGGCTCGGGGTATGGCTCAGTGGTATTGTGCTGTGCCTAGAACGTATGAGTTTGACCCTCAAGACTGCGCATACACAGTACAATTCACAACAATCCCCTCTCTCCGAACTGTACTCTTATAGCAGTTCAGGGTCACAGCAGAATTGAGTGGGAAGTTCCCATACACACTGTCTCCCCATCCACGATGAACAACCCCATTATTAACATCCTGTTCTCGAATATTAACAAGATTAATAGCATCTGTCATCACACCAGATCTAACTTCAAAATACTTTTAGCCTTTGAAGAATCATTTGTAAATCCTCTTTAGTGTCTGACTTAATAAGGCTCCTTTCGAAACATCCTGTTCTCGGGTGACGACTCTGTTTTGCTTCCGCAGCCAGGAATTTGATTCCCTGTTTTCAGAAACAGACGGTGAGACAGCAGGGCGTGGTGGTACACGCCTATAATCTCAGCACTTGAGAGGCTGAGGCAGGAGGATCACAGCGAGTTCTAGGCCAGCCTGAAATAGGGAGACCCCTGTCTCAACAAAAACCAACCAACCAACCAATCCCCAGAAGTGGAGGGCAGTTCAGGTCCCGCCAGGCCACATCTTCATTCTACTGGGTCTTAAACTGGAGATGATTAGTCGATTCTGAGGCGCTGGCTTTGAGAACCGCAGCTATGTCAAATCCAGCCCTACTGTCAGAGCGGACAGCTGGTCTAGGATTCCAGCGTGGGAAAGGGATTTACATGGGGGGGTGCACTGGGGAATGAGGACCAGTGTTTGTATAGTTTCTGGTACTTGGACTTTGCCCCTCCGAAGCTCAGATTTGGAAGAAGTGCAAAGGAGAGGCGCGGACTCGTTTTGCCCAGCAGAAATCTGGGGCAATATTGGAACTAAACATGAGAGGCTCGAGGTGGAGTGTTTGAGTGGATTTCGGGGTCTGCGGGGAATCGCATTTATGAGTTAACAGTTCATCCATGCTAAAGCTTCTGGGGCTTGTAGCCTCTTCTCCCTAGCATTTCCTTTTTGTTTTAACTGAATTAGTTGTTTTCCTTTCTCATTGCCCCGAGTAAGAATTTTAAAAAACAATAGCACTTCCGACGGAAGGGTGGGGGGCGCCCTGGAAACCGGAAGTAGCGATACGTTCGCCTCACTCTTCAGCGCCGTTCCCGCTGTGCCTCATGGGAGTTGTAGTCCTCAATGAGCCATGCTGACTGGACAGGAACTGGTGGCTTTTAGGGCCCTGTTATTTCTGACCTTGGCCATCTGGCTTTCTGAATCTCGAATTTCAGAGTTTTAAACTGTATAGAAAAGTTCTGTGTGTGTGTGTGTGTGTTTACTGTGTGCTTTGAAAAATACATTACTGGTTTTCTTCATTGAGCATACACAAACAAAGCCAGTGATACTTATTTATTTATTTATTTATTTTCCTTTCTAAGTGTTTGGCTGTGTAGTCCTAGGTAGTCTAGGGTAGCTTCATACTCATGGCAATCCTCCTGCCTCAGCCTCCTCAGTACTGGGATTACAGGCATGTGCCACCATGCCCTGTTGATACCTGCTTTTTAAAAATAGTAAAAACAGGGCTAGGGATTTAGCTCAGTGGTGCCACTGCCTGCCTTACAAGTGCAAAGTCCTGAGTTCGATCTCTGGTAAAAAGAAAAAAATATATATATACAGAAGAAAACAAAACAAAAGGCATAACTACATCAATTTAATATAAAATAGTTCAATCCTTGGTACCAAAAAACTAAAGCAAAACTTATCTGTCCCTTCAGATAAATGAATAAAACAGTTCATAAACTAAATAAAAACTTCCTTTCTGTACCTAATTTTTCTCCTAAAATGAGAACACTGTTGCCTCTTTCACTGTGTCTTTCTTTTCATTTTTTGGGGGGAGAGAATCTCCCTATGTAGGTCAGGGTGGCTTTGAACTTTCCGTGATCTTCCTGCCTTAGCCTCCCAAGTGCTGAGATTACAGGTGCGCACTGCCATGCCAGGCTGGAAGCTCTCTTTCGTGAAGTGTCTCTGGTTTTGCTGTCATGGCTGCCTTGATATCTCGAATCCACTCAAAAAGTTTACCTTTCATGGTCATGTTGACTTTCAGGAAAAACCAGGGGTTCAATAGTGCCAGATCCAGTGAGTAAGGTGGATAAGGACACACTGCAATGTTTTTACAGCCTGCCTTTCTGTTGGATACACTCAGCAGGAGAATTCACCATATTTTAAAAATCACAACTCAGGGGCCAGGGATTGAGCTCAGTGGTTCGGTGGCCTGGCTTGCATACACAAAGACCCTAATTCAATCCCCGGTACCAAAAACAAACAAACAAAAATCACACCTCATAAGGATACTTATGAAAGAGGACTTCCAGCTCTCCTTTAGAAAGCGGCAAGAATGATGGGATGCATGTTTTGGAGGTAAGGTAAGGTGCGTGTGTGTGCGTGTGTGTGTGTGTGTGTGTGTGTGTGTGTGTGTAGGTGTATTTTAAGGAGGATTAATGATAATAAATGTTTAAAAAATTAGAAAAATATTCAATATGTACTTTGATCACTCCTTTTATATGCACAAGGTAAATTTGTGAAAAAGAAACTGCCAGGCTAGTATATAATGTATCTATATTTGAAGAAAGGACTTGGGGAGAAGAAAAGAGGTGGAAAGGGGCTGCCACCACATGAGGGTCCAGCAATAAGACGCTATCTGTAGTGCCCAGAGTGGGTCCTGACCAGACTCAGCCTGTCAGCATTTTCATCTTGGACTTCCCAGCCTGAAGAACAATGAGAAATATTTGTAGATTGCCCAGTCTAAGATACCTTGTTATAGCTTCAAGAATGAACCAAGATAATTGTACAAACACGCTACCATTTTTACAGGGGTCCAAAGAAGTGCGTGTGCGTATTTGTAAACACAGAAAAACTTTAAACATAACCTGGTAGCAAGGCGGCATGGGGGCATATTCCTGTAATCTCAGCCCTTGGGAGGCTGAGGTAGGAGAATCGCAAGTTTGAGGCCATCCTGGGCTACATAGGGAGTTCAGAGCCAGTCTAGACCACATAGCAAGACCCTCTTTCACAACAAACAAACAAACAAACAAAAAAACTGGTAATAGTTGTTGCCCCTCTAGGGAAGAGACAGTGGGTGGAGAGCCAAAAGTGAGACACTGAATTTTCATGCTTACCTTTTATTTTTTATTTATTTATTTTTTTTGAGACAGGGTCTCTCTGTGCAGCCCAGTCTGGCCTTAAACTCGCTGTGTAGTCCAGGAATGGAACTTTGAGTGATCCTCCTACCTCAGCCTCCTGAGTACTAGAATTACAGGTGTGCACTACCGCACCTGGCCATGTTTGCTCTTTTATGCATTTATATCCTCATATTGTGTGCATGTAGCACCTATTCAAAAAATAAACTAAAATTTAAAATAAAAATGGACCCAATTTTCAAATCAATCACACACCTGTAATCCCAGCAATCTGAGAAGCTGAGGCAGGAGGATTTAAAGTTTGAGTCCAGCCTGGGTAATATAGTGAGACCCTGTCTCAAAATAAGAAATAAATGGGATGTGTCTCAGAGCGAAGGCTTTCCTACTGTGCACAAAGCTCAGAGTTTGATCTCTAGCACTGAGAAAGAAAAGAAAAAAGAAAGAAAGGAAGAAAGAAAAGAAAAGAAAAGAAGCAGTGAAGCTCTATAAGAATCAAGACTTAGCCAGTGTATGGTGGTGCATACCTGCAATATCAGAAGGCTGAGGGAGAACAATCTCAGTGAGGTCAAGACCACCCTGGGCTACATGTGAGTTCAAAGCCAGCCTGAACTATACAGTGAAACCCTGTCTCAATACCTCCCAAAGAATCAAGACTTTGTGGGAGCATAAAATAGTTCCTCAATAAATCCATATTGAACGAATCAGTTGTGAAGCAAATGAGCACTTCCTACACTAGTTTATTTTCTTTCACTCATTTTTAAAATAACATTTTTGGGGTTCAAGAGGGAGGTGCTTAGTTCTGTGCCATCGAACTACACCTCCAGTCTCCCCGACTTAACAAAATACTGTATAAATTCAGAAGAACACCCGCTATTCCTATTTTTCCTTATTTAACACATTCTAAAATATACTGCATTGCCTCCAATGTTTTTGTTTCATAAAAAAAGGAAAAAATATATATGGAAAATGGAGAGATGACTTGGGGAGTTTGTAAAAGCAGTCTTTTGTCACTCTTAAGATGAATGGCTCACCGCACCACTTCCCAAACTCAAATTGCAAATCCCGGCGGCACCGCTAAATCGGGCTCCGGGTCAAGTCTGGGAATCCCCAAGGGGAGGCGGTCTTTTGTCTGCGCAAGGCCAATGGGAGGCGGTCTCCGTCTGCGCACGGCCAATGGGAGGCGGTCCCCCTCTGGGCACGGCTAATGGAGGCGGTGCTCACAAAGGTCTCTACAGACAACTGTGGCGTTTCCTGCGGCCGATATAAAACTGGCTCTTGCCTTTCGGTGTGTGCCTCTGTATTTAGATTTGAAGAGGGTTCTATTCCATTAATTCGAGCCTCATTGCGCCTCTTGCTTCTGAGAGAAGAGAAACGGATTTGATCATCCAAATGGACGCAATACTGAATTACAGATTGGACGACAGTGAAGATTACTACACATTGCTGGGCTGTGACGAGCTTTCTTCGGTAAGAGTGGATGGACGGTGCTGTTCTGCGTCACAGCAGCATTTCAAGTTTTTATTTACGATATTAACCTTGAAAGTTTCATCACATTGCCTAAAAACCCGATCCTGTGTCATTTTCAAATACTTTGGGCTCAAGGAAAGTAAGACTTTAAATGCGTGTGGAATCTTTACCTGTTCAGTGTCGCATGGTAACTGTATGGGAGCTTCTGATTGAACACTAACTGTGTGTTCTGGCAAATGGTCGTAAATTCCATTTCACAAAATGCTAAAAAGTGCTATTTGCAGATTTAATGCAATTGCTGACAGCAGTGTTTTACAGTCTGCACAGCTATACCTTTATTATGGCAATTCATGCTATGATTGAGATGAAATATTTTCCAGTAAATTAGTGATATTTATTTACTCATTTGTTTTTTTAGACAAAGTCTTGCTATATAGTTTAGGCTGGGCTTGAACTCACTGTGTAGCCCAGGCTGGCCTCAAACTCGGCAATTCTCCTGCCTCTGCCTCCTCAGCGCAGGAACTACAGGCGTTCCCTCCTTGACCAGTTAATATATTTTATTAAAATGTGTACTTTTACGTGGCCAGTTCAATTATGAGCCAACAATCATCCTTTTGTGTTCATATCTCAAATTGTGGGGAAGAAGTTACTCCCCAAAAGAGTGGTTTCTGAAACAAAACGTGGGAAAACTCTGTAAGTGGTCCCCTGGATCTGTACAGAAATAATGCCTTTTTTTGGGTACTGGGGATTGAACTCCAATCATTGCGCTTGTGAGGCAGGCAGCGGCACCACTGAGCTAAATCCCTGGCCCCAGAAATAATGCTTTTAATGTTCCCCTTAAATAGCCAAAGGGCTGTAGAATTTTTGGAATTATGGAAAAATAATTTGCATAATTCTAATCTCCTGAGGGTAACGCTAAATATTTTGATATAGTGCTCTCCAGTGATATATAAATAGAATATATACATATTCGGTGGTACTGGGAATCGAGCCCAGGTCCTGCACATGCTAGGGAGGCACTTTCACTTTATCCCTGAATTAGCTACATCCCCAGGATGCTATATATACTTTTTACCCACTATCATTGTAACAAGAATTTCTTTGTACTATTAAATACTCTTTACACACATTTTAATGATTGCATATTTCATTTTATCATATTGCACTACAATTACTCTGTTACTGTTAAATGTTTTATTTCTATTATAATTTTTGAAATAGTGTAAAATCAATATGAAATGTATTCATCATTAAGTGTTATGAAAATACAATTTAGTTGTATTTTTATTATTAAAATAGAAATGTTAATATTTTAAAGAAAAATATTTTAATATTTATTATTCTTGTTTCATGAAAGCAAGAGTTTAGTAATAGGATATATTTAAGGTTTTTTTTCCCCCAGTATCAAGAATTGAGCTCAAGACCTTGTTCTTGCCAGGCAGGTGTGTTGCCACTGAGCTACACCCCCTGCCCTATTTAGTTTTGATATGATATTGGACATAAAGAATTAAAATCTCACACTGAGGAAATTACTTTAGGTAATTTGAAGAGGACACACAGAGAACAGATGATCTGATCTTTTATTATTTATTTATTTATTTTTGTTTTTTGAGACTGGGTCTCACTATGTAGTTCAGGCTTTTTTTTTTTTTTTTTGGTACTGGGAACTGAACTCAGGGCCTTGCGTTTCAAGGCAGGTGGTGGAACCACTGTGCTAAATCCCTGGCCCTCAGGCTGGTTTTGAACTCACTATATAGCCCATACTGTCCTTGCTCTCACAGTGATCTTCCTGCGTTAACCTCCTGAGTACAGAGATTACAGGTGTGCATCACCATACCTGGTTTACATGCTCTTTTTAATTAAATATTTCTCCTGAAAAATAATGTGCTGTTTTGTTTACTTTGATGGTAGCTTGCTTACAGCAGTTGAGAAAGCTTATTGATATTTTTACCACATGTCATTCATACTTTATACTGTTAATAAATAATTTTTAAAGAAATTATTCAAAATTGAAGGAATATAATTTAGCTTGGTAAGTTTCACAATTTAGATTTTTAAATTTTTAAAGTTTTTGTTTGTTTGTTTTGAGACAGGGTCTCTGTGTAGTCCGGGCTGGCCTCGAACATACTATGTAGCTAGGCTGGCCTTCAATTTGCAGTGATCCTTCTGCCTCAGCCTCCCAAGTGCTAGAATTACAGGCATGTGCTATCACACACTGCTAGTTTTTTAAAATTTTGTTTTGTTTTGTTTTAGTTTTTTGAGACAGGGTCTCACTATGTAGTTGAGACTGACCTGGAACTCACTATGTAGCCCAGGCTGGTCTCAAACACAGCAATCTTCCTGCCTCAGCCTCTCAAGTGCTAGGATTACAGGCATGCTCCACCATGCCTGGTTTCTGCTAGTTTTTTTTGTTTGTTTGTTTTAAAATATATGCCAGAACTAAGCATTTTTTTAACAGTTTCATTCTATGATTACCTGATATAGTAATACTTCTGTCTATATACTCTGGCATAGGGTAGAGGATATTTTAATATATGTCTCAATATTCCTTTTTCTGGATGTATTTTTACTGAACTGCCAATGACATAGGATATCCAGATAAAGTTCCTTTTTTTTTTTTTGAGACAGGGTCTCACTATGCAGTTCAGACTGGCCTTAAACTCACTGTAGCCTAGGCTGGCCTTGAACTCACAGTGATCCTCCTGCCTCAGCCTCCCAAGTGCTGTGATTACAGGTGTGCACCAGCATGCCTGGTTTAAAGATCATTTTTGGGTTTTTTTTGTACTGAGAACCAAACTTGGGACCTTGCTCTTGCTAGGCAGGCAGGAGCACCACTGAGCTAAATCCCCAGTCCAAAGAACATTTTTTTTTTTTGGTAGCAGAGATTGAATTTGAATTTGGTTTTTTGTGCTTTCGAGGCAGGCAGAGGAACCACTGAGCCAAATCCCTGGATCTAGATTATTTATTTATTTATTTATTTATTTATTTTTTGGTTTTTTGAAACAGGGTCTCACTATATAGTTGAGACTGACCTAGAACTCACTATGTAGCCCAGGCTGGGCTCAAACTCACAGCGATCCTCCTGCCTCAGCCCCCCGAGTGCTGGGATTACAGGCATGCACCGCCATGCTAGATCATTTATTTTTAATGAAATGACCTGTTACCATTTCCTTACTTCTTTTAATATGTATCATTTCCTCTCATTTTTAGGTATTTTTACCATTAAAAATATTTATCATTTTTTTGACTATTTAGTGTAACTTTTTTTTTCCTTAACTTTTTTGTATTGGTTGAATTTCCTTTACTTCACATATTCCTTGGTTTGGTGCTCTACAATTTTCCAGAGCTCTTCATACCCAGAATTATTTCAAAGCAATCTGATATTTTGATTTTACTTATAACAACTATATTGAGATAGCCACATAATGATTTGCTTTGGTATAGTATATAGTTCTTACAATTTAAAGTTAAGTTCAGAGTAAAAATTATAAATATTTTAATGGTTCTAAAACAGTAATTATTAAGCTTTTTTTCCCTCTCAGAGATTTAAAGAAACATCCTTCACAGATTAAAAAATATAATCATGACAGTAAACATTAAGGGTACTTTTCCTTTTTACCTAAAGTATGCTATGTATTAATCAGGACAGGGAATATTTCCCTGGTGTTGTACAGAAAATAACACACTCCCCATTTTAGAAGTTTACCCAATTTTTATCACAGGCCCTTCAGCCTTTTCTCTCTCTCTATTGGATTTTACTTTAAAGATGCATGTCATAAAAACCTGTTGAAGTGCTTTTTGGCGCATATATCACACTAAGCATGTAAATCATTCTTCCTGGTGTGGATCTTATTTGTGTGTGTGTGTGTGTGTGCATGTGTTTATTTGGTTTTTAAATATTTGGACACTATTTCAGGAATAATGCTAAGAAGGCATCATGACTTCAAGACTTCATGAACTTGAACACTGAGCACAAAACTGATAGGTAGAAACATCTAATTTTCGAGTCCTTTTTCTTATAAACTTCGTATTGTCTGGGATCTAATCTTGACTGTCATTTACAAGCTGGAGAAAATTACTTGACTTTTCTGTGCTGTGGTTTCCTAATTTGCAAATGTAGTACTCACTTCTTAGAGTTATGGGGTAAGTGCTGTGGCTATTGCCTGGACCTCACAGGGAGGCCCTTGTACATTTGAAACTTCATAAATTTATTCTATACTTTGAATTTTAAAAAAGATGTTCTATTGACTTACAGAAAAATTGCAAGAATAATACTTGTACACAGAATTCCTGCATAGCGTCAATCCAGCTACTATTAATGTTAACATCATACCTAGAGTAGTAAAGGATCAAGGTCCCTGGGGTCTTGTGAGAAAAATTCAGTTTTTTGATTTTGGTACTGTGGATCAAATCCAGAATCTTGCGCTTATGAGGCAGGTGTGGCACCACTAAGCTAAATCCCTGGCCCCTAAAAATTCAGTTTTAAAATGGGTGAATTGAAATGATGGATACTAGTAAATTCACTTATTAAAATAAATCTCAGCCTGGCGTGGTGGTGCACACCTGTGATCCCAGCACTTGGGAGGCCGAAGCAGGAGGACCGCTGTGAGTTTGAGACCAGCCTGGGCTGCATAGTGAGTTCCAGGTCAGTCTCAACTACACAGTGAGATCCTGTCTCAAAAAACTAACCAACCAAACAAACAAAAACCCCCCAAAATCTTCTCAAGGCTAGGGATTTAGCTCAGTGGCACTGTGCCCGCCTCACAAGCTCAAGGTCCTGAGTTGGATCCTCTGTGCCAAAAAATCAAAAACAACAACAACAAAAACCCCACAAAAAACAAAAAACTCCCCAAACCAAAAAAAAACAAAAACAAACCAACTTCATTTCTAAGCACATTCTGCAGTATATTCTAGTATCACTAGATTAAATCCACCCATTTCATGAGTAAACCACAACTTTCAGAAAGCACTGCACCCTAGTGATTTTATTTGAAGGACAT